ATGAAATCTGGGGAATTAATTCTTGGTGTTTAAAAATTAGAGGTGAAATACTATATGTTTTAAGATCTGGAGAAAAGATGTAAGTTAAAAAACTCTCTCTAAAAGGCTACAAGAGTTATGGATATACAGAGGGATGGTTCAAAGAACAAAATAATTTGGTTAATTCCAATAAGTAAACTAACATCTTTCTTCTACCCTCAGTAACATCTTTTGACTTATACTTGTTTAAAGCTATGCTTTTGTAACTTGTTATCCTAATTAACGCAAATACATTAAAAACATAGGATGACTTTAACTCAGAAGGGCCAATCATTAGATACTACAGAAATAGCTAGTAGAAATTTGAGCAATACATCCCAACTCTTCAGAAAACTCAGCGGACCCTTTTGTCTTACTGATACAGATGCGTCCGCCCATTCAGTCCAAACAACAGACCTAGCTGGCTTGAAAGCAAGGAGCCAGGCTGGCAGCTGGGTAGTGCCAACTCAGGAGACCCAAGAAATAGGTGAGGCGGGTTCAGTCTTCGTGATGCAACCACTGTTTCAGATGCAATGTGGCAAACTCAAGTGTTAAAAACACACTGATGATAGAGTTTAAAGAGGAGGAAAAACACCAAAATGTACATGGGCTTCTGTCCCCAAGCCCCTAAATATTAGGCACCTCACAGGGCATTTCTTATGTGACTCTTTGTTTTTCATTCAGTGGAATTTACAAGTTAGATAAAGCTTTCTTTGTTATACGTTGAAGAACACTCAGGAAGAAGTATATTTAAGTTTCAGGAACACAATATAATCTATTTAAAATGCCAAGTGTGTAACATTTGCTATTCAAAACAATAAAGCACTGTATTGGCACAGCAAGACCTAATCAAACTGCTTAAAATTACACTACCTGTTGGAGGTTTCAAAACCTACTGAGTCTCCAAATGATGAAGTGACTGAGGTAAGGGCTGGCCTGTGAGCCAGTAAGACCTGGGGTTGGTGTCCAATGCTGTCACTTACTAAAATGTAATTTTGGGGAAAATCTCTCCAATTTTCAATCTTCAGATATAAAATGGTAACATTACTTGTCTCATAGGGCTGCTTGGAAATTAAATGAGATAATAAGATCAAGAAATGGAGCTCCTTCCTCCTCTATTCTCACCTCTAGAACCAATGCTGTTTAATGGAACTCTCTCAGAAGACAGAAATATACCACTCTATGAAGTACACTGCCTAATGTGGTAGCCACAGGGCTGAGCACCTGACACATGGCTTGTCTCACCAACAAACTCAATTTTTAATTACATTAATTTAATTAGCCATTTGTTGGCTATCACACTGGACAGCATACATAACACAAAGCCATAAAAGTATGTTTCTTTGAAGTTTTAAATCTCTAGAGGAGCCACGGGAGGGTATAAAGAAAAAGAGCAGTAGATCCTTGGGGAATATATCTCAGAATGCAGTTTACTAGACACTGTAGATAAGCTTTGTGGTCAAACATATCTAGACCATGTATCAGACTCAATAGTGCTCCCCAAGCCACTTGAGCTAAACCTCAGGTTCCTCACTTATAGGTTAGGAATACTTAACATCTTCACTTCAGAATTGTGAAAATAACCAATTACTTGATCTGATATAGTATGTGCTTAACTAATCTTCTTGTGCCCCCTCCCGTTGCTTCACTGTTTCTTCTATGACCAGGCCTTCTTCACACGCTGGCTAAGTGCCTGTCCTGTTACTAAATTTAGTACTGACAAATTTGTTCAACAGTTGGCATTAACTACATTTGTTTTTTTTTTTTTTTTTGGCAGTACCAGGGATTGAACTCAGGACCTTGTGCTTGCCAGGCAGGTGCTTATGCCGCTCAGCTATATCCTGGGCCAACATTAACTACATTTGTGAGCATTAATTTTATTTTTAATAAGACTAACTTTAAAGATATATGATGAAAAGAAAATATATTCAGGGCTGAGGAGATACTCGGGTAGTCTAAGCACGGGCCTGGCAAGCGCAAGGACCTGCATTCGATCCCAGATACTGCATGCCGTGCCAGCCCGGCAACCCCAGGTGTGCCATGCAAGCCACTGAAACCAGATGTGGTGGCGCATGCCTGTAATCCTAGCGTTGGGGAGGCTGATACAAAAGGATCACTATGAGTCCGAGCTGCACAGTGAGACCCTGTACCAATAAATAAATAAAAGATTTGAAAAAAAATTCTTAAAAAAGAAAATATGTTGAACATTCCCTAAAATTATCACAAAAAGGGAATAGATATTGGCTAGGAACAGAAACTAGGTTTTCCAGCCCTCATAGCTCATTCTTTCACATTACTAAGATTTTCAGATAAGGACGAGTACTTCTGAATTATTCTGCTACAAAATTATTTAATTTACTTGAGGATGAAAATGAAACAAAAATAAAAACTAAATTTGTTATATTTTTTATACCCAGAAATTTGGTTTTGGGGCTTTTGGGAAATGCTAGTTTCTATCAATGTGACATATCAATAAGCCCTTTAAGGTGACCTGGCTATCTTTAAGTTTCCTTTCAATCATAAAGTATTTCCCAGAGCCAGCCAGACAGCTTAGCAGACTAAAGCGCCTGCCTAGGCAGGTGCAGGCACTGTGCTGTGCCAGCCCTGCCCCCAGGGCTGCTGAGAGGGCAAATGAGTGTGGTGTGGTGCGCCTGTAATCCCTGCGCTTGGGAGGCTTAAAACAGAAGCTTTACAAGAGCCCAATCTGTGTAGTGTGACCCTGCACTAAAATACATTAAAAAAAAAAAAAAAAAAAGAAAAGGATAAAATATTCCAAATATCTCTACTAGGAAGGTGGTTTATCAGTATCCAGAAGAAAAATGAGGATCACTTTTAGGCTGTTCACGTGGCTGGGAACTGGCAGAAGCTAACCAAAGGTAGACTTCACTGGGGTCCATGGGTCCTCCTCTGTGCTCAGGCCTCACAGCAGCAATCTATGTTATACTTGTTACTAAGTTTTAATTTCTGTGACAGAACATTTACTACTGGAGAATGCCACTCTTTCCTGGCTATTTTCAGACAGAGCACCATCACAGCATAATGTATAAGAACTAATATAGGGCTGGCGAGATGGCTCAGTGGTCTAAAGCACCTACTTGGAACAAGCTTGGCAAAGCACAGGGATCACGGTTCGATCCCCCAGCACCACATGCCAGCCAGCCTCGCCCCCTGGTGGGCTGAGCTGGCCACACACACACACACACACACACACACTAAATTAAAAAAAAAAAAAAAAAAAGAACTAATATAATTCTTTAACACTTTATTTCACTGTCAGTTCAGACAGGGAGTTTCATCTTTTAGCCAAGGAAACTCTATATTAAAAATTTAAATCTGTACACAATTTCTGACCACTGAATATAAATTTTAATACCAATGGGGGAAAAGCTTTAACTAGGCACAATATATTGTGTCCTTTATTTAGCCTGCTTAAATACTTCGGACTTACCCTCTAGTCCCACAGGCTCTTAAGCAAATAACAAAAACCAGCACTAACCATTTCATTGGATATGACATGGTGTTTATATTATATAACATTATTAAGGGAAATACCTTAATAAGTTATCTATAACTTGGTTGTATTGCATGTGTGTTATGTATGTACACACACACACACACACACACACAAATAGAAATGGATCAACTCCAAAAATCTCCAGTCACCTCTATTTCGATCAATGAACCAAAGTACTTCTAAAATATCAAACACCATACACCAAAATCCTTAGTATATATTTTCAAGTGTCAATTAACCTCATGCACTAACAAATTAAACCAAGAAGTAAACCGGCAAGCATGTTTCCAGACTAACAACTTCCCTGACTTTCAGGGTTGGATGTACTCTTTCCAATAAAAGATCAGTTCAGTTGTCTAAACTTATTCTTACAGTAAATATTTTTTTAAAGTTTAGTATTACCACTGCACAACCATAAATCATAACTGTGTTCAATTTTATGGGACACCAACAGGTTCCATCAGCCTGGAATTTACTTGCACCATCAAAAGTATGTTACAACTACACTTGTGAAAGAGCTGGTAACCCAACTGTCCTACCTATACAGATGTTTAAAAGCAAAGTTCTAAAAATCTTCAACTTGCAGAGCTGGTGCACGAGAGGTTTTGAATTTATAGCTTTTCTAAATCTTTCCCCTCAGTTCTGCTAGGTGAACACACAATAAATAAATCATTACCTCCATATATCTGAATATTTACCTCCCTACGAACTTAAAAAATAAAGGAAAAGAAAAAAAGGGGGGAAGATTAAAAAAAAAAGGGGGGAAACCAGACAGACATGAGTTGCTGGGTACACAGCTCCGCCCCCAACACTCCTGCCAGTCTTTAATAAGATCTGCATTCTGATCTGTCCTCATCCCACATACAGTGTTAATCTTGGAAAGCATCTCTGGACCAAAACTGGTTTAAAAAGAGTCCGAGGTGTTGCTTATATGCCAGGATTCCAGTCTGGAGGGGTGGGACTTGGAACTTACGCGTCCCTGAACGTTGCCTTTGGGAGAGTTAGTAGTGGGAGGAAAAAAAGGGAGACTAGTGGCAGAGTACAGGAACGAAAACTGTGCCTTACAAAGCCTAAAACTTTTCAGATCTTTATCTCCTTCCGACCCCTGCTCATCCCAGCAATCAGAAAGCTCAGAAAAAGGTAGCCGGTCTGGCGATAACTCTTAAGCCGGACTGGCGATAACTCTTAAGAGAGCGAAAAATTTCAGCTCAAGAAAATACGAAGAATGGGCCGGGAGGAAGCTCCCGCTGGGAGACGGCTCATTGGGTATCCCGGGGACCCCGACTTTGAGGAGCGAGGTCAGGGACGCCCGCGGCGGGGGTGTGTGCTGGGCAGTGCCAGGTGCTACAGCTGGGCGCGGGTCTGACCACCCGAGAGATGGGCCAGGCCACCCCAAGCCCAGAGATCCCGGCAGAAGGAGGTCGCGTGTGGGGCGCAAGGTCCCCCTTCCCCGCCAACTCGTCCTCACCGGGGCCGTAGAACTTGCTGCCTTTGGTCACGTCGAAGACTTTCCCATTGACGGCGAGCAAGATGCGCGGGGTGCGGGACCCGTCGTACTGGCGCAGCTGTTCCAAGCTGAAGTCCCGCTTCTTCATGCGCGGCAGGGACGCCGCGGGGCTCTCCTCGCCCGGGCCCGCGCCGGCGCCCAGACCCCGCCGTCCCCAGCGCACCCAGAGCCGGTAGGCCCCCAGCAGCACCAGCGCCACGAGCGCCACGTTCAGCAGCATCTCCCCGCCCCCCGTCAGAAGCGCCAGCGTCGCCGCCGCCCAGCCGCCCCCTTCCGCTGCCGCTCCCGCGCCGCCTGGGCTCCCGCTGCTGCCGTCGCTGCCGCTCTCACTGCCACTCCCCAGGGTGCCTAGCTTCAGGTCCCCATCACCCGCCGCCATCACTGCCCGCCAGCGCCTTCCTCCCGCTCCCCGCCCCCTGCCCTCCCCAACCCCACGCTGGCCACGCCCACCTGGGGGCCTCCCAGCCAATAGCGTGAGAGGAAGGGGCGGGGTTGGGCCCGCTCCTGATTGGGTGTTAACGGGGTAACGTTGCCTTGGATCTTGTCCTCCCCGCCCTTCTTTCGCCGGCCGCACTCGCGTGCGACTCCCCGCCTACCTCGCCCCACTCTTCTCAGCTCTCTTTCTCGGCCTCCGCCCTGTGAGGTAAACGACGAAGGCGGGGCTGAAGAAAGACGCTGCGCTTGCCCCCGCGCGCGCGTGCGCGCGGAAACACCTGGGCGGGACGCGACTACGGCGCGTGCGCAGGCTCCGAGCGCCACGCGCTCGTCTTTCCCGGGCTACACCTCCGGAGCCCGCCGAGCCGTCTCCCGCTGTGCGCGTGTGCGGGGGAGCCTCCTGGCTCGAGCCCGGGTTCTCCTGCGGACTCAGGCCGCTGTGCTCGCTGTCTGGGAGCTGCTCGCGCGTGAAGGCGGCCGCGGAGCGAGGCGAGCCGGCGGAGGCGCGTAGTCCAGGGCTCTGGTCGGTGGCCTGTGACAGGCCGGGACCCCGTTTCACGGCGAGGTGCAGACTGTTAAGGGTGCCCCCGCCGGGCGCCGGCTCGCTGGGCTCGCGGGTCGGCTGCCGGGAGCGTGGGCTCCGGTCGGACGCTGCGGACCCGGGTGTGCTGGGCTCGGCGGAGGCTCCCGGCGCCGCGGGCGCTCGCTCGCTGGCAGCCGTGCTCGGCCACTGCAGCCGCGCGGGCGCTTCGCGCCGGGGCTGTTCCGGCAGAATTTTCTTAGAGGACTTAGACTGGAGGCCGCGATCCTTGTCGGAATCTCCGCGGCGTGGGGAAGTGGAAAGGGTGGGATGGCCGGGGTAGGCCGGTTCAGCTGTCTTTACGGCGGTTTGAGTTCCCGGAGGTAGAATTCCTGCCTGAGGGGCACCCCTTAGCTGCACCAGGGCGCGCCTGCTTCCTGGACGCTGGGCTTTGACAAGCCCTTGCCTGCCCTCGCCTGCTGTCTTCGGCCCCAAGCCTGCCACTCCTGCTATAAAGGTGAAGCAGTCCAGGGTGACCTTGTAGTGTGAGGAACCTTTGGGGCGGGATTTGAACCTTTGGGATTTGAAGAGTGACTAGCAGTGTCCCAGCTACCTAACTGCCTTGAAAGAAGGAATCCGTACCACCTGTATAACCCTGAAAGGGATGTCCCTGAAAGGCCAGGTCTTACATTAAGTTTTGCTCCAAAAAACACAATAGGCTTTATTTTCTTGGGCTTTTCCCCCGTGTACAACAGTGCGTGTATTCACATACAAAAATTATATTCCTGCACAGAAATCTATACTTTCAGGGCGTGGTGGAGCAGGCCTGTAATCCCCAGCACTCAGGAGGTTGAGGCAGGAGGATCATTACAATTTCGAGACCAGTCTGGGCTACAAAGTAAGTCAAGGCCAGCCTGAACTGCCTAGTGCACCCTGTCTCAAAAAGATAAAATGAAGAAAAAAAAAGACCATTTAAATACAGTCGTGTCATCTAGAACATCAACACTAAATCGTGAATTCTGGCCTGACTTTCTTGTGACTCGAACCCGTAGAACCATTGGCTTTCATCTCTCTTTCCAGCAGTAGTGCTCTTCTTAACTGAGCACGCTTATCCACAGACTCTGCTCCTAGTGCACTGACAAGATAGTGGTTTTTTTTCCCATAAATTCTTTGTCCAAGTCATGACATCTTGCAGGTTAGGCTTCACCAAGTTTCCATTAAGTCAAATATTAATTGAAGGTTTAATGAGACGGAAGTGATAAAAATAACAGTTAAAACATGATGGTCCTCATAAAAGTGACAAAATTGTAAGCATCAAAATTGTGACAATGTTTTACTTCACTCAAGTGTTCTATGTTACAACACATGGCATATTGAAGTATAAAGATTCATATTAGACACAATCACATCTATTGGTTATCAAGTGCACAAGTTAATCATTGTTTTTTCTTACAATATCTGAAGGCATCCCTCCCACTTGCTGTGTTGAGACCCCCCCTCTTGAGTCATGCCAGGTGTGGTGGCGCATACCTGTAATTCCAGTACTCAGGAGGCTGAGGCAGGAGGATTGCTGTGAGGGAGAGGCCAGCCTGAATTACAAAAAGACACACAGAAACCTACTCATGCTACTTCCTCACTGCTGGTGGGTTTCTCTCACTGTGCATTCACATTGTTACTTTCCTATTCCTTTTGTGTTTCTACCTACACTTAAAGCATGAGACTACAACAGCCTGCGTTGTTTTCTTTGAATTTCTAAGGACTCCTTGAACATACCACTCATTTTGGCCTTTTATGTTATGCTCTTCTTAACCATTCCATTATGGAAACTCCTTCGGAGTGCAGTATTTCTCCTTTTGCCTGTCAGTGCTCCCTTTCTGACTCCTTTGTACGCTCCTTTTCTTCATTGTATCCCTGTTGCTGAGAGGTGATCCACAGCAGCTGATGTCTGTATTCCTTCCTCAAGCTGGTCCCTTTTTTCCTTCACCCTGGATATATTACTGACCTGGATGTCGTCTCTGTGAAGGTACCTCCTCAGCCCTAACCTCCCCAGAGGACCAGCCACCTATGGGTTTCATTGCTTTTCCTACATGCATAGTTGACTTCTCTGACCTCAAATCTGACCAGTGCAGTGGGATCAGAAATTACTTACATTACTTCCAAATAAAAGCTTAAAGTGTGTGTGCACTTTTGTAACAGTGATTGAATATTTTAGTTACCTATTGTCCCGTAACCCTTCCTTCTAAATGGCTTTTGTTTTGTGGTACTGTGAATTGAACTCAGGACTTCATGCTTGCCAGTGGAGCACTGCATCATAGAGCTAAGTAGCTATGCCCTCTCCCCCTACCCTGCTTTTGAGACAAGATTTATTTATTATTTTGTCTTTTTGAGACAGGGTGTTGCTATGCAGTTCAGGCTGGCCTTGAGCTCACTTTGTGGCCCCAGTTGGTCTCCAACTCGCAATAATCCTCTTGCTTCAGCCTCTTCAGCCCAGTTGAGACAGGATTTCTTTCTTTTTTAAGTGTATTTAGTACAGGGCCTATAGGGTTTCACTACACAGATTGGACCCATAGTAATCCTCCTGTTTTCAGCCTCCCAAGCACTGGGATTACCGGTGTGAGCCACCATACCCAGTCTCAATCACGTTTCAGTGAGCCTCAGGGTGGGGGCTGGGTCAGCATGGCACACCAGGGATTGAACAGGTCCCTGCATCTGCCTAAACAGGCGCTTTAATCTGCTGAGCTATCTGGCTGGCCCCAAGACAGGATTTCACTGCAGTTCAGATTGGCCCTGGTGATCCTCTTGTCACAGCCTCTTGAGTACTGGGATAACAGGTGTGTGCCACCATCCCCAGTCACCCTTATAAAACTTTTAACAGTTTAAAACAGTCACTATTGAGATAGCTCAGTGGACTAAGCACCTGCTTAGGCAAGCACAGGGACCAGTTAGATCTCAGGTACCACATGCTGAGCCCAGGCATGGTGGCACACCCTTATAATCCCTGTTTTCAGCTGCTGGGGCTACTGAAAACAGGAGGATCATTACACATCAGCTGTGTAGTAAGACTGGACCAAATATGTAAAATGAACAAACAAAAAAGTCACTATTCTCTGTAGTGGTGTTATGAATTGACTTGGCTCATGGACATTTGTCTAATTTTGCTGTGGTGTCTCTGATGTAGTTCCAGCCTATCTTGTTTGCAGTGAGAGTAATTGGGAAGCTCAAGATGCCTGAGCTTTTCTTGTTCCAGGGTCTCTTCTTCAGGTACATTCACCAACAGAGTGCTCTGACTTAGATGCTGCCTTACAACCTCAAAAGCGTAAAAGTAGAACCTTCCATAAATGCTTGCCTGGCAAGCACAAGGTCCTGAGTTCAATCTCTGCACTGAAAAAGAAAGAAAGAAAGAAAGAAAGAAAGAAAGAAAGAAAGAAAGAAAGAAAGAAAGAGAAAGAAAGAAAGAAAAAAGAAAAGAAAAGAAAAAGTAGAACCTTCTTGTCTTTGCAAGGCCAAGGCCTAAAACTGGCACATTCTATCAGTAAAAGCAGGGCCAGCTCAATTTATAGATGATAGGGAAATAAACTCTTGATGGAAGTTGAAGTAAAGTGACAAAGAGTCTGTGGCTATGTTTAGCCACTTGGGCAATATTTCAGATGTTGGCTGCTTCCCTCAGAGTAGGCACAGATGAGAAGGAGTGCCAGTGTAATACCAGTCATGTGAAAGAGAAGTACATCTCCATTTTCCCAAGTCATAGAGATAGTTCAGGTTGTTTGGCATCAACTTTTCTGTACTAAAACAGTAAGTAGATGCTGGATACAGAGTACAGCAATAACAAAAGTATAACATACGAGGCATTGACATATATGATATGCTACAAGTATCAGCCATTGGTTGGTTTGGCAGCCAACTCTGACTCATGAACTAGCTTAGGAATTTACACTATGCTAGTCAAATATTTCTTAAATAAGAGACATATTTCTTATAATTCCTCTTTATCTTATGAGAAACACTTCCTTTCCATAGTAGGTATTTCTTGGTGGACTATTGAAGAGGTGCCACTAACATAAAACTTGACACCATTCCAGGGCTACTAGCTAGTTTCCTAATGTGTGAAGTATCTTCTTCCCTTCTCCCTTGTCTTGGCAGCCAGGAGCATGTGTTCTTTGCTCTGCTACCTCATACCACAAATTTTACAAATTTTAGTGCTTGCCCATGCCAAGGGAGGCTTGGGTAGTCTTGCCAAAGCAGGATCCATGGTGGAAGGGAAATTTGTGGTTTGAGGAGCTCAGGTCATTTTCTGAGAATGGTAAAACCTGTTATTTGAACTTCATTTAACAAAGGTAAGATAGTATAGTGTTGGACATTAACATTTTGCTTTGGGGCTAGGGTAATGAGGAAGCTCAAGTGCCAGCATGACGTTGGCACTGATTACTCTAGGCTATGATTTAGAAGATAAGTAATTTAATCTTGAGCCTGGTGTGGTGGAGCCTGTAATCCCAGCACTTGGGAGGCTGAGGCAAGAAGACTGCTGTGAGTTCAAGGCCATAATGAGTTTAGGACCACCTTGCACTATAGAGTGAGACTTTGTGCCTCTTCTGGAAAAAGGTACAATCATATTGAAGAAGTGACTTCATGAAGATGCTGTGCATGTGCTTGGGAACACAGTATTACGAGTTTTAAATTCATTCAGTTATTGAAGGTCCTAATTCCTTGCTGA